ATGTTAATTTGTTCAATCAAATGGTACGATCAGTTTTCCTCTACGTATGTTCAACAAATTGTCGAAAAACGAGTGAAAAAAGACAATAAATTGTCCTGCAACGACCAAAATCAGTCAATTTTGTTTTAAATTATATATTTTTGAGTGGGTTTTGAGCTGCTGTATCCAGTGGTGCGTTAATTTTTTTGTCTATTTAGACTTTTTACAAACAATTTTAATCTTTTTTCAAATTAAACTGTATTTTCCCCACTTAGATGACATTTATTGCTAGTCCAGGGGGCTCCCAAAATCACATCCAATTTGCGACTATTTGAATGGGTTTTTTAATGGTTTCCTCCTCACTCGATTTTTCTTTTTGTTGATGTTTTCTTTAGTTCAATTTTTTTCAATCAATAATTTTAACTCTCCACTTTTGTAATTTCCTGCGATTATTGTATTTACTTTATTATTTATCAGCCTGATACAAAGAAAGCGTATTCATCCAAACGAAGAGCTGCTGGTCTGGCGGCTTGAAACGCGCGATTAGTTCTAGTCCGACTGATGAAAACTGAGCAAAATTAGACGAAAAACCAATTTGATACCGTAATTGAAGTCCGATGATGATTCGCGACGGTACATGCGAATAAAAAGCAGCAAAGAGTTTTGGCACCTGCTCATAGGGGGAAACGATCCTCTCGCATTCGACCATTCAGCATTAAAACATTAAAAATTAAGTTGGTAGTAAGTCCAAAGTTACAACGGCAGGTGCGGCACTGTCTTACATCATCACACGTTACAAATGTAACGGACATTCGGGCCTAGTTTTTGTCGAATTTTTCCGTTAAAATCCATCAGTGTTTCATGTGGGATCCGATTGAAAAACGGGCAACATGCACTTGCAAATTTATGCCGATAAGAACCTTATCGATTGGCCAATAAATCCGAATGGAAATTGTGTTTTGATTCTGGAGCGATGATAAGGGCCTTAAGTGATGCGATTTGTATGATAATCACTTTACTGAGCAATCGGCGCAATTTGTACTTGCAACTGTTTGGGACAGTGCCGGCGAGGAAAACAGCCATCCACCAAAAGTGCTGTTTTCCTTCTTACAACCTTCTAACGATGCAAACTAACGGCCTTTTTTCATCTTCACTAACTTTTCCACTAATTACACACCTGCGAAGTTTCCGCTTTCGCTAAGTGCTTGCCTGAAAGCAACCGCCTGCTGATACGCCCCTGCTGCATTGATTTGACTTGAAATGTTAATTGGCGCATATTAACCAATGTTATCACACGGAAAATCGGCACTATCTTCCAAGAATGGCTCAGTCGATTACCTCTGGGGTTGCTAATTTATTCCTGGAATTGTTCACGGCAGGGACAACAATAAAACGCTTCTGAATCTAGGACAATGGCAATCCCTGTAGCCAAACTAGATTATTTGTTGATGGCTAGTTTTGCATAGGAGAAGAGGAATCAGTGGCGGCTCTTGGGGAATGGGTATGGAGGTATACCAAAGTGCAGAAAAATATGAAAAAAATTACAGTGCAACTCCAAGTTGATGGAAATTTAAAAAAACGCATTCTGCATCTTCCTCAGTCACACCTTCCTCCCTCATAAATCTACACATAAACTTGCTTGCGGAACTAGTAGAGGTCAGACTTGTACTTAGTACTTGACTGTCATAACAAACAACCGCTTCCTCTGGTCACTTCTGGCCCCAAATGGGACGCGATCTCCGGAAAGTGAAAGCACTAAATGAAAGAAGACCAACAACATAAACCTCGACGACAATGTAGAAGACGCATGAAAGAAACTGAACCAAAACATCCTATCAGTAGCAGAAAAATTCGGATGAAGAAAGGTAAAAAATAAGACCCGCTGGTTCAAATCGAACACCCTGGTTTACCACTGAAGTAAAAATGCCGCCTGAAAAAAAGAAGCCATTTCTGACATGGAGGAGCTCCGGAGGGAATGAAGATCGATAAGTGTATGTTGACGAAAGAAACAAGACAAACAAAAGAATTCGAGAAATCAAGAAGGAGCTTTGTGAGGGATTCACCAAGACTATGGAACGCGACTTGTATGGTTCATAGCGAAAGATTTGGAAACTGTTACGAAGCAGGAGCGCAGATGCCACCGAAACTCTGAAAATTTATAACATCAATAAGAACCAATGGATGGAATATTTTACCAACTTATACAACTCTGCTCATTCTGTTCAAATTGTCGATGATGAGGACACTTCCAAAACCGATGGACCAAAGACCGAAGAAAAAACTCTGAAGTGATCAGCAGTCGTTTCCATTAAAAATAGAAAAGCTTTAGAAATCGATGATATCCCGAACGAACTCCTTAAATACCCAGGAACGAATTAACCAGTGGTCGCCAAAACGATAAAAATAATCTTCCGCTAGACTTAAAAACAAGTGTTACAATGTAAAACACATTACAATGTATAAAATAGCAAGCTTATAAACAAGGTAACAAAAATGATCCATCTAATTATAGAGAAATAACGTTACTTTGTACAAGTCTAAAACTGGTAACGATCTTATTGAAACCTTCACAATTCACTACAAAACACATTAATGCCGCCTATTAAATTGAAAGACTGGCACAATTCCACAAGCAAACGTCTAATAAAGCTAATCACTGCAAAACACATGCAACACACGTTGGAAAGGCTCCTAAAATCGCTTACAGCATATATAACTAGAACCACGTCATTGGATTGGTCTATTGGGCGATAAAATGCAATTTTTAATGAGCGACCTGCGGGGCCCATAATCATTGATTGCAAATTAGCAGTGTACTTTTCCATAATTTCCCATTGACATATCGAGGGCAATTTCCGCTAATTACTGAAATTTGTGTGGTGGATCCAGGGCCGTTAATTGGGCAAAGACAAGGAGTTATCGAAGCCACGAAATATGATTGTTGGCTATTCCTTAGTGAGTACCTACTCTAGACCAAATTTATGGCCGAATGGAAGCGCATTATCCGTCTGAAATAAATGATGGGGAATGTCCCAGGCCGGCCACCATAATGCATTCTCGCTGTTTTTAAAGATTGTTATTAAATGGCTTAAAATTCTTACGTTCGATTTAATTGTACCGGTGCGATAATGGTATGCGAAATATACGCACTACGACTTTCAATAACAAATTGTGCGGAGCAAAAGTAGGTGCGATAAGAATTGGCCGGTACCATTAAAACGGTTGTATCCTCGAGAATGATACATTTTTCCACCGAGGAACCATCTTTCAATGCTGCATCATGCATTCTTCTTCAATGCGGTACAATGGTGCTGCTGCAGTTCGGCTTTGTGCAAGAGCCCAAATCGAGAAAGTCGAAAGTTTAAACGATGTTAATGATGGGAACGGAACTTTTGAACTTCCGAATTTGTTTTATTGTGTGAATTTTTCATTCCAGTGGAAAATGCTCGAACTTTTTAGACACTCTTAAGATCTAAATCTCTGGTCTGTCTTTGAACTCAAAGACAGTCATTTGAGGTACCCTATTCTTATGCTCCACTAGATAAGTTACGCGAATGAATCTACTGTTCCCGGTTCTCTAGAACAACAATCTTATCACATTTGCAACCTTTGAAGTTGATGCCGAGTAGGTACATGCGAGTATCTAATGGAATATAAACTTTTGTTGGCTCGTTTCAATTAAAACTCTAAGACCTTCCATTAAAGCCCCGATGGGAAAAAAGCATTAATTCATGGATTTTAATCGTCCAAAGTTCTGATTACGTATTCGAGGGGTGCGACCTTGAGATGCACCTGTACCCGCCGAGACACGTGCACCTGTACGTTCCAAAGAACGTAATCTTCAAGGTGCAAGTGGAGCCCCCCTTTTACGTGGTTTACGATCGCCACCCTTAAGGGAAGAGCAGCGGTCAATGCAGCGACTAATTAAAAGGCGCGTGGACAGTCACTATTTGCCAAAAACTCCAATAAAATGGATTTGATCGTGTGACCACCGGAGGGGTAACACCAAATGTCCATTTGGCGCGCTGATTTATCGAGCTGGCTGGCTGGGAAAAAGGGTCCGAAAATGTGAAAAAAACGTGAATAAATGGCCCAGGCCATTCCGGTATCCTCCACACCATTACCGGTGGTCGTGTAAAAGATATTTTTGCTGATAATACACGGTTGCACTTATGTGTAATGTGCATTTCACACGATTAATTCCCGCTGCCCACCCACGTAATACTTCAATGCAACAATGTGATCGAATTAATTTGCGTCTCCGTATGCCAACTAATCCGCCTGTGAAAAAAAAATTATACAAGTCTCCTGGCTATTTTCGCTTGGGGACCACGAGAAAGTTGGAGGAAAGAAAAAAATAACGGTTTTAACCCACTGCGCCCTAATGCTTTTGATTTTTTTTGGAGAAAAACTTTCTACTGGCGCATTCGCCGCAAAGGGAAGAATGCTTTCAAGGCGAATTGCGTTTGCCTCAATATCCAGAAGCAATTGGGCGCAAAATTACCACAAAACTAAGAAAATTTTCCGCAGGCTCTGAGAATAAAGCTTTGAACCTGCTACTACTTTTATCGAACGTCAATATTGATGTTTTTGAGGCAAATACTATTTAGTTGCGATTCGCCAAAAAGTGAAGAAATACTTTCAAGCAAAACTGCCTTCGCCTCAATCTCCAGATACAATTTTGTCCAACGCTGCCGCCAAGAGCACATATTTTCAAATCAAACTGCTTCAAACAATGAGGAAATAGCCCCAAAACTGCCAGCTCCATTGCGCATTGTTGCAACTTGAGGAGCACAACAAGACACAAACTGGGGCACTTTATGGGGCTTATTACCAGAAAAAGCATCCTCAAACGATGCCGAAAAATATGAACAAACTTACAAACTAAATAGCGAAAATGGCAAATCTTACCCAAACTAATTTACGGCCTCTTTGCAAAAGCACAAACTAACAAAACATAAAATAATATAAAATACAAATAAACTTTGATGAAAATTATCGCACATGATCACAGACCTTCGCATACACACATAACCTGAAACCACTAGGAAAAGTGGAAGATTGCACTTTTAACCTTAAAGTTAAACTGAAATCTTGCGTACAGTGGGGCCCATTTTTCCGGTAAACATGGGAAATTCCAGTGAGGATGACGACGATAAGCCCACTGGGCCTCTGGAGAATGCATGGGAAATGAAAATCCCGGGATTCAAGCCCGAACATAACCCCCACGGTATGTTGGAGGAAAGCTCCTTTGCCACCCTGTTTCCCCAATATCGGGAGCAGTACCTCAAACAGGTGTGGCCTCTTGTGCAGAAAACTCTGCTGGCTCACAGTGTAAAGGCTGAGCTTGATTTGGTCGAGGGCAGCATGACAGTGAAAACCACCAGAAAGACCTGGGACCCCTACATTATCATCAAGGCTAGAGATATGATCAAGCTGATGGCGAGAAGCGTGCCCTTTGAGCACGCGAAGCGGGTGCTGGAAGACAACGTGGGCTCGGATATTATTAAAATAGGCACCATCACCAGGAATAAAGAGCGATTTGTCAAGAGACGCCAGCGCCTGATTGGCCCCAATGGATGCACCCTGAAGTCAATGGAGCTGATATCAAATTGCTACATTCTTGTGCAAGGCAACACTGTGGCTGCAGTGGGGCCCTACAAAGGGCTTCAGCAGGTTAGGAAAATCGTTGAGGACACCATGAGAAACATCCATCCGATGTATACTCTTAAGGCACTGCTGGTCAAGAAGCAACTGCTGAAGAATCCTGAGCTTCGCAACGAAAATTGGGACCGGTTTTTGCCGAAGTACGCCAACAAGAACCTGAGCAAACGCAAGCAGCCGAAGAACAAAAAGGAGAAGAAACCCTACACGCCCTTCCCTCCTCCCCAGTTGGAGCGCAAGGTATGTCGAAAAGGAGCAGGACTTTTTGCAGTTTTCTGACTGTGTTCACTTTTTTGCAGGTTGATAAGGAGATAGAGACCGGCGAGTACTTCCTGAACAAAGAGCAGCGTAGGGCGAAGAAGAAGAAGGAGCAGGACGAGAAGCATGCAGAGGCTTCTAAAAGGCGAGATGAGAAAAGGAGTCAGGCCTTCGTTCCTCCGGAAGAACCCCACGCCTCCACGTCCAAGGAAACAGCTGCGAGTACCAAAGTGGATATTGCTGCCATTAGGGCGAAAATTATGAAAGCCAACAAGAAGGCCAAGGCGAAAACAGGGTTCAAGCTATGATTTAGGAAAAATGTGTTTTTTTTGTATAATTATATGCCTAGGAGGATTTATGATTTTTCTCCACTCTCTCATGGCCCCCTACCGAAAAAACCGATTATTGAAAATGGTTGACTGGCTCCTAACCTAGCTCTTCTTTGTTGTTGTTTACACTTTTCAAGCTGATCAGTTTTCCAATGAATTTCCCTTAAAAAACGGGAAAATGTCGGCATACGTGATGGGAATTACATCAACAGGAGGGCTGCCAGTTTTTTCGCGCAAAAAGGGAAACTGCGAAAGCGTAAGCCTAGTTTACAGCCAGTCCTGCTCACCCTTTGGCGGCTTGTTTCTGCTTTGCAGCTCTCCTTCTCCAAATCAGGGTCTCTAAATGGGGTCCACATGTTCGGGAAGCCTCTGAATATCGAGCTGCTCAGTACAGTGACCGACGACTATGCGGTGGCCTGGAAGGAGTTCAACGACAGGTGAAACTGGAGTTTGCTTAAAGCCCCTCTTGAATTTTATTAGAAAGGTGTTTTCCTACAACTGAGTGTTTTTCTCCCAGTGCGTAGTTTTGTAGTTCGCGTTTATTTCACCGTGATACCCTTCTTAGGGCCAAAGTGGCTGCACTCAAATGTCCCCTCTAACCGTTCAAAAAACTATTGAATCAGATAGAACCCTTTTTGGACCAGTTGCAAATGTATCCGATTTTCCCGCTGTTAATTCAACATTTCGTTTTTGTCACTATTCAAGTTATGCACAATTTTTTAGAATGATTACCTCAACTTTTTCTGGTAATTATTAAGACCGTCAGGCCCTCGTCGGAACAGTTAACAATATATATAATATATAACTTTTGTTAGTGGTGTTTTTTGCAAAAATGCCATTTTCTACCACTTTTCGCTCATTGAAATTCACTGCTTCTCCATAAGATAACAAAGGACACCACCACATTTTCGCAAGAAACGCCACTAAGGAAAGTGTTGGTACAGATATCTAAGAGATCAACTGTTAACTTCAAAAACTCGTAAGTACGTGCGGAAGTAAAACCTGATGATACAATGATTCAAAACTTTCAGCATTTATTGCACATAACAAGCCCCATTCAATAAACAAACGTTCTTTAATCTACAACATCTCGTGTCGATTTTGTGAAAAATAATGTTTTTGAAAGCGACAAACTCAATTTTTCAAAATTTCGAAATAAATTCAATATTTTGACTCTAAATTTCTTTTTCTGTCTTTAAATAAAATTAAAAAGTCTTTAAATCTGCGGAGCTTTTTAAGAAAACGGGGCTCTCCGATTGAGTAAAACGCGTTTATCCAATCGGTTCCAGTTTTGGAAAAAACGAGGTTTTGTTTTGAATTTTGAGCTTTTGAGTTTTGAGCGGCGAATTTTAAGATCTGAAAACTCCGAAAAGCAGATTTTTCTTTCGTGTTTTTAGGGTCAAACTGTACTAAAATGCCAGCTCGAGGATCGATCACTTCGATCACTTGAGGAGTTGGAAAGACCAACCCTTCAAATCCTATCGAATTTAATTCTTAAAATTTTCAGCCGATGCATCAGAATGCCTTTCACCTTCGTCTACTTCACTGTCGTTTTTTTTTCTTGTTGTATCTTTCTTCTAAGTAATTTTTTCCGGCGTACCAATTCTTATGATGCTTCCATTCTTTCTCTTTTTCCGTGTTGAACAAATCGCCAATGAAAACCTTAAGATGACCATGCCTCCACATTTTGCAGTTTGGTAATCATCGGATTGGCCAGTGGATGTTCCGTAGACGTTCTGAACCGACTTCTTAGACTGGTCTACGATGCCGTTGTGCTCATTGTTGGAATCGACGAAGCTAAAAGCCAGCGAAACATCGAGCGACTTAAACGAGATCTGCGGGTAATTATGCTCCAGCCTGCTTAACAGGCGGCTCTTAGTTTTGTTCCAGGTTTGCTATCCGGTGCTGGATAGGCTTCTGGACTCTCTGGATTGTGGTGATGCCAGCAACAAGCACTCTTCAGACATCGTTGGCTATGTGGAGACGATTCTTTGCCCAGAGAACCACTTGATCCAGGTACAAACCTGGCGTAAAATGTTCGCTGTTTTAACCGTCGAATTTTTGGCTTTGCAGATCGTCCTGGATTCGTTTAGTGAATGCGTGGACTCGATGTTCAGCTGCGTTCTGATCAATGGGAAAATCGCCGCAGCAACTGAAAGCTGGTGGTCGCTGCATCCGCATGAACTCCGAATTTTGCTCTTCCTGGCCGTGACGGAAAACAAGGATATTTCCCGAGATATTCCAGTGTTCCTCCCCTACAAAAGCCCTTCGGTAGATGCGATGAATTTACTCACGCAGCCTGATTAAGGGTAGTTTCTAGGTGGCGTTCCGCTTTATCGCATGCAGCCTTATTGCAGACGTGCAAGTTTGCTGCCTGTGCGGCTCCACTCCAGCCCTAATGGACATCGAGCAATCGGCCACGCAGTGCTTCAGGAATTCTACCGATATCCTCAAGGCAGCTTCCGAATGCGCCCCTAGAAACTTTCCCTATTCCTTAGTGGTGGACAGTGGGATTTTAGGGTAAACGTCTCTAAAGATTGAAGGTGTTTAGGCTCAATTTGCACAAATCAGGCTGTTGTTGATCAACATCAAGCTGAAGAAGTACATGATGTCGAAAAACCCGCAGCCCAGCGCGTCGCGGAAGGCGTCCAGCAGCTCACATCGGCTGGATATTCTGCGCACCTTCTTCTATCAGGCGGTGATGAACACTTTGATCCCCAACGCGCAGACCTGGCAGGAGAACAACCTTTGCGAGGATCAGCGAACGGATAAGCTGGCTCAGGACGAGCAGAACGACGGAGTCGAGACCTACTGGTGTTCTGAGTACCACAAGTGCCATGCGGTCAAAGTGGGCATCAACATCTTATGCGTGTTGTACAGTTCAGCAACCCCCACTCATGCGATGCGACTGATCAGCAAAACCACCCTGGGCATGCTGGTTGGAGACAGGCAAATTTGTTGGTAGTTGAGGGTTTAATAAAAGCAATTATTCGTTTTATTCCTGGTCAAGTGAATGCACCAAATCCAAAATCCTGGCACAAACAAACGGAACATTGTTCGGGAGTGGAGGCGCATGGCTTAGCCGGGCGTCGCGACGTCGGTCAATAATACGACGCCGTGATGGTAGGAGCGTGCTCGGCCCCTCTCTGTCGGTCGCACGGTCGGCTGGCGAAGAATGAAAAAAGAGATCAGGCCTGAAAACATTCATCGACGGTGTTGGTGGCAGCAACACCCCGTCATCAAACGCAAGTTGGGAATCATCGTCATGGTGGCCGGTCAGTAGCGCGATTTAATCCAGTCGGAATGCGAGTGTGACAGGAAAAGCGGTTCAATGTCGCGGCATTTGCAGTAGTTTCGCGATTGAAAAACACGGGAAAAGCGGCGAAAATGCGACGGAACGTTAAGATAATGCTGGCCTTCACTGTGGTCTGGATGTTTGTTATCATTTACTATCTGCCGAGGGTGGCCGACGATGGAAGCAAGGTAAACCGCCCTTACATTTCGCTTAATCATTTTTCTGAACCCTCAAGGATTGAAAATCAGCTTTCGTACGAATATTTGCAATTTGATATTGAGTTTGGTAGTTTTTCAAGTCTGCAATTTACTAACCAAAAATGTTTTTTACGCTCGAGAAGAGCAATATTTTTTGGACAGTTTAATAGCAAATTAAAAGCACTAATTTAATTGTTTTTAAATTACAGTTTCTACTATTTAATTGAAAATTATTAATTTTGTAGCGCTCTTTGCTTAGGGGGAAATTAATTGAGCAACTGAGCTGTAGATTTGCTCACTATTAGACTCCAAGTTTGAAAGTTTCCTAAAAACGACCCGATAAGGCGAACATTCCGAAATCTGCACGACACGGACCCTGTCCTATTAAGAGCAAAAATCGGCAAGTTACTAGCTTCTTCCGTTTAAAAGATATTAATTAACCCAATGGATGGTGCATTTACTCACTTTTAGCCAGCATGTTTGAAAATTTCTCAAAAAAGGCCTGATTTTGCTAATATTCCGAAACTTTTATGACACATATCGGCAAGTCTCTAGCCTAGTCTCTTTTTTGTTTGAATAAGATTAATTAACCAAGTGGACTTCACAGGCGGACATTCACTCACTTTTATCCTGCATGTTTGGAAATTTCCAAAAAAGGCCTGATTTGGCGAATATTCCGAAACTTGCAGGATTTAGTAAACAGGCTTTGCCCTATTTAATGCAATCATTTTTAAAATGCCAAGTTTTCTATACTATGGAATATTAATGGAAAAAATGAGCGATGCATTTCAATGCAAATGCTCGGTGCTCTCTTTTAGTATGCAAGATAAAAAATTCTGAAAAAAGGCGTGATGATGCGAACATTCCGAAAGTTGCAAGATTGCTTACACAGATTCTCTGCTATTTAATACATAAATCGGCAAATATCTAGCTTTTTTTGTTTGAATAATATTAATTAAGCAAATGAACGGTGTATTTTCTCATTTTTAGCCTGCAGGTTTGGAAATTTCCGGAAAAAGGCCTGATTTTGCTAATATTCCGAAACTTTCAGGATTTAGTGAGCAGGCTCTGGCCCATTTAATGCAATAATTTGTAAGATTCCAATTTTTTCTACTAAAAAGTATTAATGAAACAAATGAGCGGTACATTTCAATGTAAATGAGTGGTGCTCACTTTCAGCCTGCAAGTTAAGAAAATTCAGAAAAAAAAACGTGATGATGCGAACATTCCGAAACCTGCAGGATTGATCGCTCTCCTATTTAATGCGAAAATCCGTAAGTCTGGCTTCTTCGATTGAAAAGATATTAATTAAACAAATAAATTTAGTTTTACACACTTACAGTTCCAGTCTGATTTTTTTTAAAGCGACCTGATGCAGCAAACTATTCGAATCCCGCAGAATTTATTAATTCCTGAACTATATAATTCAAAAATCCATAAGACAGTACATTTTTCCAATTGAACGATAATAATTAAATAAATGATGGGTGATAATGCTAACTTTGGGGATTATTAAATTAAGCATGCTTTCCACATGACTATAGCGCTTTCTATTTGAGTGATATTTGTTCAACAAATGAGAGTTGCAAGAGTCGGTGATCAGTCCGCGGCTTCAAAAATTTCCCAAACAATTCCTGCCAATGAGAGTCTGAGAAAACCTTCCTGCTTTGAGAAACGGAATTTCGTCTATTTATCAACAAAAATCAATTGAACTAAGTGGAATCTAAGGGATAATTTCAAAATATTTTTTGGTAACCAGCCCATTTTCCCTTACCACTCCATTATCAGGAAAGATCATCGTTCAATTCCTAAGGAAATGATACTTTCCAGGCAATCAATCATCGTTTCGAGTATAGGATGATGCAAGGTTTTCATAAGCACATCAATCAGTGGCGCCCTTTCCACTGAGAAGATTTGGCAAAGTCACGATCTGACTATGGCCAATCCGCAATCGATATTAACACTGTGAGAAGGCTTGGAAAAAATTGAAACTCTAAAATTCACTTAAGGATAACGATATGCATGTGCTGTAACGGTGCGACCTTCGCACACACCAAAAAAAAATGCTACGTGGAGTGAAAATGAAAGTACTAATTTTACAATCGGACTAATCAGGAATGCAATAATCAAGTAAAATTTGTCTTTGTAGATCCATATAATATGGATTATGTAACGAGGATATGCACAGACGACCAGATGTTGTAAAACTTATTAGGCAGCAAAACAATAGAAAGAAACCACGTCGAGCATACATCTGTTTCATGCACGAGAACAATTGCCGCTAATTTAGGCTAATTCCTGGTCGGAATTGGCTTAAGTAAGTTTTCCAGACCCAAAATCTAGCCATCGGTTTCACGCGAAACAATCGGTCTGCTTTACCTCAGCTAATAAGTTTAATTAAGACAATGTTTCACCATGTTTAACTGAGCAATAGCGGTAATTATGAAGATGAGAACGAAATTGACCCAGTTCATTTCATATTCCATTACATGGCTTGAACAGTGCACATTCCCATGGCTGATTGGATGGGTTGCCTCACAATTCGAGCGTTAGATAAATTTGTATATTTCAATGCACCAATTTGCGAACAAGTCGCTGTAAAAGTCCTCCTATTCACCGTTAATCCATCTTCTCAGTCAGCATGAGTGGATTATTATGCAATTTGATTAATAATGACGAAACTCATTATGTTTTCTTGAAGTTTGCCATTTACTATGAGGAATTGTGGGCATCGTTACACCACAAAGTCGGTTCTATTACAGAAATTGAACGTTATTCGGCTAAAGTGAATGTGGTTTTCCCCATTGCATCCAACTAGTTTTTGACTCGTTCAAAATTGCATTAAAAAAAAGTGATGATGGGTGCATGTCGAAACAGGTTTTATTAAACAGGTGTTGGTCTATTTGAAGCAAAAATTCGCAAGCCTGCTTTTACTTAAACAAATGAAGGTTGCATTGTATTCATTTTCAGACGCAAGTTAGGAAATTTTTCAGAAAAAGCCTGATGATGATGGCAATATCAGAATCAGAGATTTTCTTCGGTGGAATTTGGACTACTTAATGTGAAAATTGACGGCTTGTAGCTTGAGCTTGAGGCTTGTAGTTTGAAAGATATTAATTCAACTAATGGTGCTTACATTTCTCAATTCCATGCCGCAAGTTCGAAACTTTCTTCGAAAAAAAGCTGATAATTAAAGCAATCTGAAATTCACAGAATTTTTTTAGAAACGTTTGTTCAATATGATTCTAAAAGGGTTTGATCAATAGTTCTTTTCGTGTTTACGGTCTTAATTAAACAAAAATGAGGTGCATTTGATCACTTTCAGATGGCAAGTACAAATTTTTTTTTGCAATTCCCTGATAACAGCAGTGTTTCCAGACGAGAAGAATTTACTAAACTGCTTTCGCTCTTTTAAATGTAAAAATTGGCAAGTTCATCGGTCATTTGGTTTCAGCGATATTACTTAAACAAATAAAGGGTGCATTTGTTCATTTTCAGGCGGCAAGTTAGAAAATTTCGCTAAAAATATTCCAATAATGAGGGCATCCTGAAATCGGCAAGCTGTTTTAAACAGAATTTCCCCTATTAATTTCGGAAATGTCCTGGTCCATAGCTCTCTTGGTGTTTAAGATATTAATGAAACAAATAGGTGGTACATTTGATCAATTTTAGGCGGCAAATTAAAAAATTTCGCTAAAACGTCCTGATGCTGACAGTGTTTCGAGACTTCCACACTTTACTAAACTGGGTCCAGTCTTTCTAACACAAAAATCCGCAAGTCTTTACACGTTTTTGGGGTCGAAAGATATTAATTAAGCCAGTCAGTCACTTTTGCCTGCCAGTCATTTGTAGCTTGCAAGTTTGAAAATTTGACAACCTAGTCCTTATGATGCAAACATTCCGAAACTTGCTGACTTTATTAAACCGACTTTACCCTATTCAACACAGAAATCCATAGCCATCTAGGTCGCTTCATTCGAAGCATATGGGAGGAAGGAAACAGCGGGTTCAAGAACCGTCCTTTACTTCATATGCCATTCTTAGCGATTTCCTGCTGATAATTGCAAATTCAATTAAATCTTCTTAAAGTCGGTTGTTTACTATAAGGAAATGCGGAGTTAATTCCAGCACAAAGTCCGTTAAATTGAAGAAATTGGCGGTTATTTCTCAAAAGTGAAGGTGGCTTGGATGGAGATTTTCTCCATTGCATTGCACCCCACTAAGCAACAGTTGAAGCCTATTCATGTCATTAGAAATGGTTGAATCGCCTAACTACCGACCAATTTGAAGGAAAGTGTTAACTGCCTTTAATTAGCGCAATTTAGCTGGCGTGAAAACTCTGTTTATTGACTGGTTCGTCCAACTGCATACCAACAAGTGCCAAAAAATGGACAAAACTGCCCGTCGCATACTAAACACCTGTTGATTTTCTTGTCATAAAATATTCAATGTTTGATACGGTTTTTTTTTCAAATAAATATTTATTAGACGCGCTCCAGTTCACTTCTGGTTTGGCATTGTTTTACTAATAGCCGGTCGCTCGTTAACATTGTAAACATACATGCAGTCAAGTACCTTCTGAAATCCATGTAGAAGGTTTTGTGGTAAAAAATCTGTTATATCAGCTTTCGCTTCAGCGTGGACTAGAAAGTCCATGTGAAGCTAATCAGTTGAATAAACACGAGCAAATTATATAAATTAGTTGGGTCGGCTCGATGCCTATCTGGCAGACATCGAAAATTGCTGCTTTGAAGCCCGATTTCCATCAATATTTACACTGAAAGCTCCAACCAAACCAGTCCAGTGGGCTCTAGAACAAACCTTTGCCCATTTGCCCGGCCAATCAACAGATAATTATACGCTCTAAAATGCAAATACTGAATGAAAGTACGCAACTAGATCCGCATACACTAATTGAATGGATCAACTCGGTCGAAAAAATAACTGAAAAACGACGATCTCATGGAAGAAGTAAAAGGAGATCATCTGCATGGGCTGACGTAACTGAAAGAAATGCCTAGTTATTGGCTGAAGGTCGTCGATGGACTTTTAGCGAAATATCACAGAAGCGAATGTCGGTCAATTAATTGAAAGTGGATCCTTGATGGCTCAACAAGAGCTTTGAACAAGCTTTGAAGGTGAAAGGAGACTGTGGTGGATACAAGGTGATGAATGAGAAAAAAACACGGTTTTGACCACAGATTGAACTGAGGGTATGAAATGCACTGTCGATTGTCATGTTATCGACTCCTGAGTTTTTTGTTAAGAAGCAATGAGCGTTCATGGCTGCCCTAATTTTTCGAAAAAAGTCGCAAATTTAAAATTTTTATGGTCGACTTACACAATATATAAATTTTCCTCACGGTTTTGGGGCATTTTTTCCAGTCAGTAGAGCGTTTTTTTTAAGACATTACTTAAACAAATAAAGTTTACACTTGTTAATTTTTGGAGCCGTTTCGGAAATTTCTTTAAAAAAATCTAATAATGAGGAACATCCTGAAACTGGCAGGATTTTTTAAACATAATTTGCTCGATTAAATTGGAAAATGTTTAGGTCAACAATTCTTCTATTCTTGATTAAAATTTTAGTTAAACAAGTAGTACGTGCATTTGCTTACTTTCAGGCGTCAAATGCAAAAATTTCGCTTAAACGCCCTGATGATGACACCGTTTCGAGACTTTGTGGCTTTATTAAACTGGATTCGCTTGTACCAACGCAAAATCCCTTTCAATGAAAGCATTCTTAAACTGGTCGGATATTTTAAGCAGAATTAGCTCTATTCAACACAAGATACTTCAAGTTTATAGCTTACTTCGTGTCAAAGATATTAGTAAAGCAAATATGAGGTGCATTTATGATAATAAGTGGGTAAGCAAAACCATACTTTCAGGCCGTAAGTTTAAAAATTTCCCAACAAATTTGATAACGAGTGCATTCTGTAACTAACAGAACTTTTAAAACAGTGTTCGCTCTATTCAATTAAAAAATATTAGGTCTTCAGCTCTCTCGGTGTTCCAGCTATAAATGAGACAATTGGGTTTGGTGCATTTGATCACTTTCAAGTGGCAACACGAAGGCGTTATTAAACTGGATATGCGGTTTTGATGGCAAAAATTCGCAAGTTTGTAGATCATTTGATTTCAAAGATAATCGGTAAACAAATGACGAGTGTATTTCGTCACTTTCACGCAGCTAGTTCGAAAATTTCCCATTAAACTCACCGTAGTTTTTAAGCAGAATGAGCTCTATTCAACACAAGAAACTTCAAGTTTATAGCTTACTTAGTGTCAAAGATATTAGTAAAATAAATATGAGGTGCATTTATGATAATGAGTGCGTAAGCAAAATTATACTTTCATGCCGCAAGTTTAAAAATTTCCCACAAAAACCTGATAACGAGTGCATTCTGAAACTAACTGCTTTTAGAATTGTGGTCGCTCTACTCAATTAAAAAAAAATGCTTTTTACCTCCCTTGGTGTTCCAGCTATAAACGAAACAATTAGGAGGTGCATTTGATCACTTTCATTTTTTAAGCAGAATTAGCTCTATTCAACACAAGAAACTTCAAGTTTATAGCTGACTTCGCGTCAAATATATTAGTATGTAAAACAATAATGAGTTGCATTTATGATAATGTGTGAACAAGCAAAACTGCACTTTCAGGCCGCAAGTCTGAAAATTTCGCAAAAAAAGTATTTATAATGGGAGTATCTTTAAACCTGCAGGAGTTTACAAACAGGATTCGCTCCATTCAAGGCAACAAAATCAGGTTTATAGTTTTCTGCAGGTTAAATATTTTAGTTAAGCAAATATGAGGTGCATTGGATCACTTTCAGGTCAATCAAAAAATTTACCTGAAACGCCCTGATAGTGACAATGATTCCAGATGCGACCGTTTCATTAAACTGGATTTGCTCTTTTTAACGCAAAAAATTGTGAGTTCGTTGATCAATTGGTTTGCGATATATTAATTAAACAAATGCGGGTTGCAATTTTTCGTTCTCCTGATAATAAGCGCACAAAATCGTCGTTTTCAGCAAGCCAAATTGACCCAAAATAGAGGGCGAGTCAACTGGCAGTCAGTTTGCCTTAAAACTAGTCCAGTAAATAATAAACACCCAGTATAGTCAAAAACAGTTCACTTTTCTCCGAGGTCACCAAAACTGACAAATAAGCCAGTTTCATTCCAAACTATCCGTATCTGTATACAGAGTGACTGAAATTCCGCCTCATTTTTTCTACATTCTTAGGAACACTATAATTTATGGTGTCATGAGACCTTATCGGCCGACAGTTTTTTTTTGAAGAGGCAAATTCAACTGAAACCGACGTTTGACAATAAATTTATTTTCATACAATTATTATCATATTTGTATGTATAGAGGATGCTTCAAAAGTACGATACCAAAGCAAAAGCCAATATTCAGGGTGGTTTTTTAGTGCAGGAGAGTCCATTATTTCAGTTGGTGTTGAACTTTCGAAAAATAGTTTCATATAAAAGTTATTGACACACAAAGTGCGCACATTTTAAAAATATCTTATATGATACCGAGTGTCTCAGAAAAGCGAGGCAAGATCAAAGTGTATTTTTTTAAATAGAACTACCCATTTTTCAATAGGTCATGGAATGCAGCTTGAAACGCTGCATATGCACCGTAAATTGTTTTTTTCTTAATTGCGACGTTGGCAGATTATCGCTATTTTAGTAAAATTTTGCTTAAAAACATAGTATCTAAAAATTCATTGTAGAAGCAAAAAAAAGCAGTTAAAGATACAAAAATACGTCTTTCCAATCACCACAGATCCGTTAAGAATTCTATTGAATCAAAATATCAATACATCGTACAGGGTGAAATTTGGACTTCAATCTAAAACTTTTTAACGTAATATAACTTTTGTTTTTCAAATGGAAGTACCTGTATATTAATACGTCATTAGATAGACAATTTACAAAGTTACAAATTTGAATTTACACTTTAAGCTGTGAAATCAACCGTTTTCAAATTAATTTATTTTTTATTTCAAAGAGTTGTTACATTTTGTAAGGCGATTGGAAAGACGTATTTTGTTGTATCTTTAACTGCTTTTTTTCTTCTACAATGAATATTTAGATACCATGTTTTTAAGCAAAATTTTACTAATATGGCGATAATCTGCCAACGTCGCAAGTACGAAAAAAACAATTTACGGTGAATGAGCTATTGAAAAATGGGTAGTTTTATTTAAAAAAGTACTTTGATCTTGCCTCGCTTTTCTGAGACACTCTGTATCATATAAGATATTTTTAAAATGTGCGTACTTTGTGCCTCAACAACTTTTATATGAAACTATTTTTCGAAAGTTCAACACCATCGGAAATAATGGACTCTATCGCACTAAAAAACCACCCTGTATGTACAATTTTATGTCAACCTAGTATATCTATCTACTTTTGGGTACATGTAGACTAAACCTGAACAACAGCAATTACCGAAAAAGGCGTTTTTATTTTTCAAAACCACCTTGCAACATTAGCGCTCGCGAACACATCTAACTCGATTTAGTCCGCACTTTCACTGTAATAATGTGGCCTTTTTCGGTTCAAATGGGAGATAAATGCGGCATATTTGCCGGTAGGAAATCACTTTGCTGGTGAAACGTTGAAAGGAAGTGCTGATCACACTGACGTGGCCTGCACTCTCTGATCACAATTGATTGAAAACAATCGCTCCATAATTTGTTTAACAATTTTTACCAACTTTGTCGCCTTAATTCGCATTTATTTGCGGAGTAAACCGCTACAAATACCCCTTCATCCTTTCTTCAAGTGATTTTTTTCAATTTTGTCGTAGATTTCCCAAGTCCTCTTGAGCACTTAAGCGTGTAATCGTTCCCAAGTAATGACTAGGTGATCAGAACCATACCTGCGGAACAAACGAGAATCTTCAGCAATTCAAGGATGAATTGCAATGTGGGACAAACTTAAGAACCGTTCTTCATATTAGATTGATTTGCTCGTTTCACGGGTTTAAGAGCTTCGAGTGGGTTCAAGCTTCTTCCGCAATGCGGTCCCAGGGTAGTGAAAGGAAGCAAGTCCATCATCAGCGATCTAATGCCATTAGTAATTCGGAATGGCGAAAGTTCAGAAATAAGCCTTATCCGGGTTAATAAAAAATGCGTTGGGAAATAGTCGTGACTCGAGTACCGATTAAGAAGCCGCGGAAGAATTGTTGCTTTACCCGCGTGCTGGATGAGCACTTTCAATTGGTTCGATTTATTTCATTCCGTCCATCTCTTAGAATTGTTTCAGTTTTCCATCTGAACAGGATCATTTGAAGCAAATGCGGTAATAATTAAGCACATTCGAAGTTAAAAATGTGCTCATTTTCTTAAACCTTTCCTTCACTAACTACTGTTCTTATTGGTCTATTTTCCAAAAGTGTCGTTTTCGATCAGTTCTAATTGCCAATTCTGGGGTTGCAGACTGAAAACCGAGCATTGAGACTGAAAGACGAATTTCTGGCGGCTGAAAGCCTCAGTCCATCGATTTCCACCGACAGTGGAATCAATCATGGAGAACTTCCGAACGATACCGGCTTCCATTTGGCATTGCAGAGCGCTGAAACAACCGATGGCAGGTAGAAGTTGCAAGTCTAAACTCCATCGAGAGTAAGTATAAACCTATTGCTCCTTTCAGAGTGTCTTGGAAGTACTTTGATGAATCGGGCTACATATCGAAGGGCGGTTTGAGGCAAGGCGAAGATCCCTATACGAGAAACCGATTCAACCAGCAGGCCAGCGATAGCCTGCGCAGCAACAGGGATATTCCTGATACCAGAGATCCTGCGTAAGAAATTTGCTTCTTGACCCAAAGAACCGTGGATTGATTAGCGTCTTAATCAACATTACAGATGCAGAAAAAGACATTGGAAGAGCCAATTGCCTGCCACTAGCATAGTGATCACATTCCACAACGAAGCCAGGTCGACCCTGCTCAGAACCGTCGTAAGGTAGGGAATTTGGTGCATTCACGAAAAATCGCCTTGAAACCTTGCGGTTTAATGTCAAGGCTCTTTCGATCAGTCGCGACAGTATCAATAAAAGTAATCACCATGTAGGCGATTTATGTTTAGCAATAATTTCCAATTAATCACGGTACTCAGCCCAATTTGGGAGCATGATAATTCGGACTGAAAACGCCAAGAATTTGACCCAAAATCACCTGATTTTATTCGTTCTACAGCGTCCTCAATCGCAGTCCAGAGCATTTAATCCATGAAATCATCCTGGTGGACGACTATAGCGACAATGGTAAGTGAAGCTACGATACCTTCAAAGTCCTTTTACATTTTTGGATCATTAGAACCGAGTCCTCGGAGATTCAGGATTTCTAGCCGGGCCTCGGGTCAATGGATCAGTTCCAGAACCAGACAACCAGAACAATAGCGCTTCGTTACGAACCGATTTGCATTATAAAATGCATCATTTGAAAAAAGAGTTTCTTTTTAACACATTTTGAAGTACTTCACTGTGCAGGCTGTAAGTGTTTTCTCAAAGTTTCCTTGCTCTGTCTTCGTTCATCTAAACATAAACCCATTTATCTGATAAATTTCAAAAACATTTTGGTGCTATAGGAACATTCTTTTCAGTCTTGGAGATAATTAATTCCTTCTAACAAAATAATTCTTTATTCACTGTATTGTAAGTTAGAACAGATCTGACTAGAAAACAGGTACCGATAATTAAAATAGCTAAAAAAGTTTCTTTCATTAAATAAACCGACAAAAAGTAACTGCATCATCTCATATAATTCCCGGATTTCTAGTGCCGACGTATGAAATTGTTAACGACGTTGGGGGCGAAAAAGTATTTCAAAAAGTGCCCTAAGCAACTTTGAAAATAAATTCAACAGCTGGAGATTTTTATATAAAGTTCCAACTTGTGTAGATACCGCTGTTAAGGTCTTGAGCGCATTCCGAATAAATCGGGGGTTTCCTATGGGATTTATAAATTTAGAAAAAGGGTTTGCAGGGAATATGTTCTTTAAAAAGTGCCCTAAGGATTTTCGATCAAACCTTAACAAATTGGGACTGTTGGAAACTGAAGTGGGACTGGACATTGGAATATGAAATTCCAATGAATGTACGTTCCTACGTACGTACGTAATTCGCCGATATCTGGTGAAATGTTCGAAATTGCCAAACTACGTTGGGGGTGGAAGACTTTTCTAAAATACGCCCTTAGGAATTTTCAAAAAAATTCAGCAAACTAGAGGTTTTTAAATAAAGTTCCCACTTTTGTAGGTATCGTTGTCAAGGCCTTGAGCGCATCTCGTATAACTTCGGTGTTTCCTATGTGATTTATGAATATGGAAAAAGAGTGTGTAGAGAAAAAGGTTCTTTAAAAAGTACCCTTAAGGATTTTCGATCGAACCTTAACAAGTTGAGACTGTCTTATAAATTTCCAATTAATGTACGTACCTCCGTTTGCGTCTTAAGCGTGTCTCGTTTAATTCACGGATATCTTGTGCTATGTTCGAAATTGTCAAACTACGTTGGGGGCGAAATACTTTTCTATAAGATTCCTTTAGAAATTTAAAAAAAAATTAACAACTAGATTTTTTAAAATAAAGTTTCTACTTTTGTACGTATCGCTGTCAAGGCCTTGAGCGCATCTCGTTTAACTCCGGTGTTTCCTATGAGATTTATGAATATGGAAAAAGAGTGTGTAGAGAAAAAGGTTCTTTAAAAAGTACCCTTAAGGATTTTCGATCGAACCTTAACAAGTTGAGACTGTCTTATAAATTTCCAATTAATGTACGTACCTCCGTTTGCGTCTTAAGCGCATCTCGTATAACTCGCGCAATTCTTGTCGGATGTTCGAAATTGTAAAAAGAAGTTGGGGCTTAAAGAGTTTTCTAAAAAGTGGCCTTCTGAATTTTCAAAACAAATTCAAAAACTAGAGATTTTTAAATAATGTGTATTTATCGCAGTTAAGGTCTTGAGCGCACCGCGTATATTTCCGATGATGTTTAGGCGATTTGCTAACTTTCAAGACGTGACTGTGGGGAAGAAGGCTCTCTAAAAATGACCCTTAGGAATTTTCGAAATTCCGATATAACAAATTTATTAAATGTGTAAAATTTCTAGTTTTTCCTTCCTAGTGTCACATTCGAACCATCCAACTCGACTTTTGGCCAAATGATCGGAACTCGATTTGAAAACAATTCGGTGAAAATGAGCAGAAATAGGCCCAACTGGTTGGACACAGTTGAAGTTTCTAAAACTCCTAGTCTTCCTATCCTTAGTGTCTTTTGGTCAGACTAGAAGTTTTTGGGTTAGACTGGTTCAGAAGCAAGAAGCGATTTGGAACCGTTTCCCCGTTCTTTACGGATTGCCGAGGAATTATGCCCCACGTACTTAAAATGAAAGCGATGTAGCTTAGATATTTTTCCTTTTATTAAATTGGATAAGGTTTTGAACAATAACGAATCACAACCATAGAATATTTCTACTACGTCTAATCACTCTATCTACCACTCGGATCCGTTAAGACCCGAGGCCCGAAATGAAAAATTTCCAGATTCGCTCGGACTTTTTCAAAGACGCGACAATATAACGTCTTTTGCTTTCTAGCATCCGATGGCGAAGAACTGGCCAAAATCCAGAAGGTGAAAGTGATTCGAAACGACAAAAGAGAAGGCCTAATGCGCTCTAGGGTAAAAGGAGCCAATGCCGCCACTTCTTCAGTGCTAACGTTCCTGGACAGCCATTGCGAGTGCAACGAGAACTGGCTGGAACCGTTGCTGGAACGCGTGGCCGAGGCACGCAAAGTCTTTATATAAACTTTCGGGCTTTGAAAACGTTTTGCTCTTCAGGACCCAACACGCGTGGTGAGCCCAGTAATCGACGTGATCAGCATGGACAACTTCCAATACATCGGCGCCTCTGCAGACCTGCGAGGCGGCTTCGACTGGACCATGGTCTTCAAGTGGGAATTCCTCAGCTTGTCCCAAAGAGAAGCGCGTCGGCACGACCCTACTAAGGTAGCCGAGCTCTAAATAATCACAAACCAAACTAATACAAATTGTACAGGAAATCAAGACGCCGATGATCGCCGGAGGGCTGTTTGTTATTAACAAGGCCTATTTCGACCGGCTGGGCAAGTACGACATGCAAATGGACGTCTGGGGGGCGGAGAACTTCGAAATCTCCTTCAGAGTGTGGCAGTGTGGCGGCAGCCTGGAAATCATCCCCTGTAGCAGGGTAAGCGCCAGCGCAAACGCCACCAGTCTTCCTAAAATAATCCTTGTAGGTGGGCCATGTGTTCCGCAAAAAACACCCCTACACATTCCCGGGTGGCAGTGGAATTGTTTTCGCCAAAAACACTCGACGCACCGCCGAAGTGTGGATGGACGAGTACAAGAACTTCTACTACTTGGCCGTGCCGCTTGCCCGAAACGTTCCCTATGGAGAGTAAGTGCTCGCTTAAAGCGTGCGTTTTTGAGCTAATTTTCAAACTTTTAGCATCAGCGAACGGATGGAGTTGCGACGCAACTTGCAGTGCAAACCCTTCAAATGGTATCTGGACCACATCTACCCGGAGCTCACCGTTCCGGCGAATTTCCCCCGGCCGGGCGAGATTAGACAAGGAGCGTTTTGCCTGGACACTCTTGGACATGTTCTGGATGGAACCGTGGGAATTTATCAGTGCCATCACACGGCAGGTGAGCTGCCCCAGTTTGCCTGTGATCTGAGCTTCATAAGCGCTTTGCGGCAGGTAATCAAGATTGGACGCTGACCAGCGACGGTCTGCTCAAGCACCAGGACCTCTGCCTGACGTTGGTGAACGCTGAGGAGGGATCGCAGCCGATAATGCGGATCTGCGATGGTTCCGAAGCGCAAACCTGGCAGATGAGCCATCCAGGGGCGCTGATTCGTCACACCACGTACCCTCTTTGTCTGGACACACTTCACAATGACCTCAAGGGGCTCACACTGCAGCAGTGCAACAGCGGCTTTGAGTCGCAGCGATGGCGTCTCGGGAATATTTTCTAAAAATTCCCAACATGGTTTGGGGGGTTGTTTTGTGCGCTTGTAGCTTGGAATACATGGTAACTGTGATAGGATCTTGTACAGACATTCTGTTTAGTCACAACCCTTCTCGAATCTCGTGCGGGTTCTCAAATTCGCTCATTCCTCAAGCGCTGGCGCTCAAATTTTGTAACTACTTACAGGTTCAAAGACACACACAGGGTATTTGTTTACTATTGATGCCTAACATAGCAATAATCTACTTTGGGAAATGAGCTCTTTGCCCAAGTCGACTGAGAGACTCTGGAAAAGGAGCGTCAGCGCTTTCTCATAAAATTGGTGGATGTGTAGTTACCAGCAACCTTTTAAATTATTTAGTACCACTAGAGTCTATATTGTGGTTGTTTTTTAGAGTTTAACAGTCCGCAAGAGCCGACTGAGGATAAGTGTACATAAGAGATAGATCTCGTGTTTTCTGTCTGTGTGAAGTGGAACATTTCCGCTCAAATGAACCCTACATATAGCTTAATTTATGTACATAGCCCTATAGATAGTAAACAATAGGTATTTTATATATATAAAAAACTACATACCAGAACGATATTACGCCATGTCTTGAACTTTGGAGCACAAAAATCGACGATTCTGTTAAATTAGTTTCTTTTTTAATAAACCAGTTATGCCAAACTGATAACTCATCCTGCTATTTCCCGGCCCTGTTCCTCAGTCTCCATAGAGACGCTTGATCAATGAGAACACCTGCAAAAAGCCATGTCCAAGCCGACAATTATCAAAGACGCCATCAAGCGCTGGGAGGAAAAACATCCGGGTATTGGCCAGCACTTTTACCATAAAACACAGCAACCCCCCCCCCCCTTTTAGGTGAACAAATAGCGGAAGCGAGCGAGGTGGGCTTTCAGTTCCAATGGCCTCCAATCGAGAAAATGGACAACTCCCTGTCGGCGCTGCAAAAGTGCAAGAAGCTCAGCCTATCGACCAACATGATCGAAAAAATCGCCGGCATCAGTGCGCTGAAGAACCTCAAAATACTCTCATTGGGCCGCAACTACATCAAATCCTTTTCCGGATTGGAAGGAGTGGCTGAGACTTTGGAGGAGCTGTGGATTTCGTATAATTTCATCGAAAAAGTCAAAGGTGTACAGGTGCTGAAGAAGCTGAAGGTAAATCCTTTTGATGGGCGCGTGGGAAAGTTCCGGCGAGTTTACACATTCATGGATTTAGTGGCGCCAATAAGAATAACAAATTTGCACGTGTTACAATCCTTGCATGCATAGCCGGAAAAAGCCTGCATCCATCCGATATCACTGGCGCCAGTAGTAAAGAATATCGTCCAAAAGGCATACTTTTACGTTGATTCGTCAGTTAATTTTTCGTTTCCCTGGCGCTAAGAGCAATAATTCTGTTTGATTTGTGCGGCTCCTATAAAGATGGCTTTAAAGAAAACATTTCTGGCGCAACTAAATCAATGCATGTGCACACACCATTATTAAAACCATTGCAGGTGCTCTACATCGGCAACAACATGATCAAGGACTGGAGCGAGTACGTGAAATTCCAAGAACTTCCCTGCTTGGAGGACTTGCTGTTTGTGGGCAACCCGTTGTACGACAGCATGGAGGAGGCAGTTTGGAAAGTGGAGGCGACCAAGCGGCTGCCCAACCTCCGCAAATTGGATGGCGAACCAGTAGTGCACGATGACGAATAAATAGATAGTTTTTATGTTCTCCAGTTTTTACTCTTAGGGCTGTTGTGCCTGGTTCAGCTTCTGGAGCAAATGATCCCTCCATTGCGCCTCGGGAATGTCTCGCGCCCATGCAGGGATGGCCTCCTCTGGCAGCTTGATGTTCTGCATCATCTGCTTGACTAAGTCGATTTTTTTATCGCTCATTTCGATGTCAACTTCCTTAGGAGCTGGTTGCGACCACACCTGAATACAGTGTTTATTAACCACGCGCAATAAGTCAACCATAGGGCTTAAAACCTCTTCAACTTGCACTGAGCTGGAATCCTTGATCCCTTGTTCAGCTGCTGGTGGCTGCTCTTCGTCAATGCCCTCATCTTCATCAGAATCTGTTTGGAAAGAGTGACATCAGTAGGTTAGAGAATAATGTTCTAGAACCGTTTGTTACCATTGCTGGATCTGAACAGGGCTTCGCTGTCGGCAGGATTTTGTGCCAATGGCATGTAGCCGCCCCAAGGGCCATTGTCTTCCAGCTCAGAATCGGAGTCCTCTTCAGCCCTTGGCTGCGCTAGTTCGCGGTTTTCAGCTATTTCAGTGTCGTTGGCCGGAGCGTTCGACAAGCCGGTGTCCCTTTTGCCCATTGCACAGTTTAAATCGAAAATTTACGTGATTTAAAAGGGGCTTGAGTGATGTAAACAATGCGCTAAAAGTGGGGTTAATTTACTGCATGTTGAAATTGACGGATTGCTGAGTGCGTTCATGTGGCAAGGCGGGCGTGCGCTATTTATGGCCACGCCCAAGGCGCGACTAGCAACTTTTTCTGAATTCTAGCAAGTAAATCTAGTAAGCCTAGGTGCCCGGAAAATATTATGAGAACTATTGTTAAAATATTTTTGTCCCTTTTAGGATTTAATTTTTTTTATCTGGATAAATTCGAGTAATTATTCATCTAAAACAATTTCCGTGTCGTTTAGCATAGGGCAGAGACGGAAGAAGACTAATTTTTACGATTTATCTTAGTTTCGGGTCAGCGCTTGTCCAGCTGCGGACAGCGTCAACCGGACACGGTCCAAAACGAGGAGAAAATCGTCATTTTAGAGCGATACACAATGTGCAGCTGAAAAGGATTACACGATTACATGGTTTCCTTTGTACCGCTGACTCTTTTTAATGAATGCAAAGATAAATCGTCTCTGTCTGCCTTAGAACTGGTGTTTTTTTGCGTTTTTCTAAATATAACTTTCAGTGAATAAAACTGAAAAAAACCGATTTTCTTTAAAAACAATTTTTATGACATACATACGTCCAATCTGTGATTGTTTTGATGTATGTAATGACCCAATGTCATTTCTGATGGCAGTTGACAATGTGCATGTACTGTTCTTTTAGGAGTTTTTCGAAAAATCTTTTAATTTTTGAGTTGTTTGGAAGGAAAATGATCAGTTTTCTCAGAGCGGAAGTTTTTCTTCACCGTTCCGTGGTATTTTTGTGACTAGCAGTGCACTTTTAACGATGAAAATGCGAATTATAATTTCAAAAGGTTTCGACATCAAAACTTTGTCGTCCCAGAAAATTACGGAGTTTTGCAGGACTATGGGACTACGCTGATAGGAGTTGATCAGGTACCTTACTAGAAATAGGGAGATTAAGGTCAATGGAGCCACTCACCTTAATTTGCTTAATAAAGCTTCGAAGGTTTTACTCCTTTTGCGCCGTAGGAATCAGCATAATTTCAAATTTGCCAGTAAATGCTGTTATAAATATGTAATTTAATAGTACGGGATTTTAGTGCCGTGTCCTCTTTTAGTCCTGTGCGAGTACGACACTGGTTGTACATTAACAAAACACTGGTTTTTAATCGGTTGTCACTTTTTTCTTCTCAAATATTGCCATGCCCAAAGGGCTCCGCACAACTTTCACCTTAAACTCTCGAGTTTTGATCAGCGCATCTGATAAAGTCGAAGTTGTACAGAACTTTTCGGGCACGACACTGGTTGTAAAGCAACTGTCGCATTGCCTTCGCCTTAAACTGTGCATGTGCTTTGAATGTGAGCATACCTTTGAAGATGCAAGCCACTCGTGTTTCTGACACGTCAGGAAGAAATTATTTTACACGACTTTTCGACCTAAAACCCCGAGAATTCACCAGTTTTAAGCAATGCTCGCGATTCTTCTGGCAGGCTTATTATGGAAGGAATATGCAGTGGCATGTTTTGTGATCAATGATGAATAAATAAGCCTGCCCGTAAAGGTAAGAATCCAAACTTCAAAATTAACCGCTCTGGTTAAGAGGGTGGCAAATATTCCAGGAGGATTCGTTCCCAATTTCATCCGGACTTGTCTGTGTATTTGAAAATTCGTTTTACGTGCTTTCCGCTCGCCGTTTTGTCACGTAATATTCAATAACGCGTTCTTGTGTCCTGGTTCGGACCATCAAGATTGCACGTAATTGGAGGGGGGCAATTAGTTAATCGTCTGGCAGATAAATTCCGATCCATGAACTTTTCCCGAAACTTCCCCGGCTGCTGAAAGAGCGCCTGCTAATTCCCAAGTTTCCCAACATTGGCGATGAATTGATTATTTCTTTGACGAAGCGTCCAAAGTCTCCACCATGGAAAGTAATTTTCGTGCCTTTGTATGCGACAAACTAATTCTCGAGCGGATTTAATTAATGCTGTTTAACTGCACGCTGGAACAAAACTCATGATGGCTCCTGATTATGTGCGCTTTGTGTCTATATTGCGGCTCTTCTTGCATGAACTCGACTAGGAAATTCTTGTTTTAATTGGATGTTTTTTACGGCTTCTTAACTGGGTCATTAGAGCTGTGTTTTTGGAGCTCCCCGGATTTCTCCTAAGAAGTTGCACATAAATACGAGGATTTTATTCCGGCTGCACGTCTTGCTCTGTGGGCAAAAAATCATAAACCACCCTAGGGGCCGTGTCATAAGGTTATGAAATACGTGATACTTAAGCGAACTAGAGGAGTCCCATCTGGAATTTAAATAGGCCGTGCGGGCGGGACTTTAAAGCCACATTAAATCTGAAGGCAATTTTATTAAATGTAGCCTTACAAAGTATCTACTAACGCTCCTCATAAGGGATTTGTAAATATCAAACAACCGACCTGTACAAGCCCAACTTTTCCGTTTTGGAAATTAATTTTTTTGTTTCACATTCGCCACAAAACTGTAATTAATGCCCGCATTTATCCCGACTAATAAAGTTGCAACTTGCGTCCTAATGATTGCTTCTGATTTATGGCTCAGTCCCGTGTAATGGAGAGTGACTGCAATTTTTCAATTTACCTAATTGCCTGTTCAGTAGAATGCATATTAAACGCCACGAGCGCAAGTTTTCCATCTGGAACTCTTGGATTCGATACTGGCAAGAATTGTTTGTGCGTCCATTTGGGCCGTCCTCACTTTACATTGAAACAAAACTTTCGCTGGTTCTCGTCGATTTTTAAGCAAACAAAGTTGTAAACATAAAGTAGCGCGCTTTTACGGGCTTTTAGAGTTCCAATTTAATGCATGCTGGATGAATTTATTATCCCCTTTTAGCAATAGATTCATTCCAACTGGGGGGAAAACTTTCCGGGAAATAAGTCGGGGATTATTTAATAAAATCAATTTCGAGTACGGCTTCATTTGCTAGGCGGCCTTTAACTGGGAGGCTTCGTTTATCTTTCTACCTTCAACCCACCTGGAAAGATTGATTTTTCCACGTGGCGTCTTTCCAAAATGTGCAGAAAAGTTACTTTGGCATTATATATTTTTTATTTTATTTTGGACTGCCAGAGAAAACTCATTGAGAAACGGTGTTGTTTTCTTGGTGTATTTGGTTTTGGCACAACAAAAATTCGACAGTTTAAGTGTGCAGCGTGTTAAGCAGAGTTGTGGTGATCTCTTTGGGCACGACACTGTTTGAGAAGAGAAAATGGTAGGTCATTAAAAAACAGCGTTTTGTTGCTTTACAAACAGAAACAAACACTTTGCTTACCCGAAGGTTCGTTTAGTAATTAAAAATCGGGAGTTTAAGGCGAAAGTTGTGCTGAGCTTTTAGGGCACAGCATTGTTTGAGAAGAAGAAAATGGTAGGTCATCAAAAAACAGCGTTTCCTTGCTTTGGAAACAGTGTCGTGCCCGAAGGGCTCGGCACAACTTCGACATTAACAGATCATTAGTTCAATGTAACGCGTAAGTTGTACCAAAACCCCTAAGTTACGGCACAGTTTGAATAAGAAAGTGGCAACTCTTTTAAAAATAGTGTTTTGTTGCTTTCCAACCAGTGCTGCGCTGGAAGGGTACGGCACAACTTCGATATTAACACATTGTCCGTTTAGAAATTAAATCGTGAGTTTAAGGCGAAAGTTGTGCCGAACCTTTAGGACACGGCATTGTTTCAGAAGAAAATGGTAGGTCATCAATAAACAGCGTTTTGTCAGAGACAAGACTTGTCTCTGGTTTTGTTGCTTTGAAAACAGTGTAGTGCCCAAACGGTTCGGCACAACTTCGACATTAACAGCTTATTAGTTCACTGTAACGCGGAAGTTGCACCAAAACCCTCAGTCACGGCACAGTTTGAAAAAGAAAGCGGCTACTCATTTAAAAATATGTTTTGTTGCTTTACAATCAGTGTCTTGCTCCATGTGTACGGCCGTTGGAACATAATTTATTTCAGCTAAATTCTACAAAATTTCTTACTGCTAACTTGTCTACGAGTACTTAAATCTAACATCTTTATAGTGTTTTACACTCTATGTATAACTAACATTACTGACTTAACCTACCTTAATCTACCTTAACCTAAAGTGGGTACATTACCCCTAAGTCTAGACCTAAGTCTAATACAGCCTCTGTTGCTACCTAAACTAACTTACAGCTAGTCCTGGTCCTCTACGGACTCCATGGCGGATAATTAAACTTATTTTAACTTAAACCTAGTTCTGGTCCTCTTCGGACTCTATGACGGATACTTAAGAACTAACAATTTAATGTACACTTCGCCCTCTACTTTATTCTACTTAAACCTAGCATAAGCACATGCCTAACCTAAGCCTACTACATCCTCTCTTGCTTCCTAAATCTAACCTAAAGGTTGCTCATGGTCTTCGATGTGGCGATGGAACCGGTCATCGCATGTGGTCCACGTCTTCTTCTTAGACAGTGTCCGCAGGGAGAGGTCTGCGGTCACTTAACAGGTTCAGCGATAAAAATTCGACAGTTTAAGAGCGAAAATTGTGCTAACACTGTTTGAAAAGGCGAATTTGAAATGTCATTAAATACTGTGTCTAATTTCTCTGCAATCTGTGCCGTGCCTGAAAAAATTCGTCAGTTTTCTCCACTTCAAAGAAAAGTTGGTTACAGAAAAAAATATTCCACTGACGTGAAGAAAAACTCAAGCAAGATGATTTCTGAAGCAATTTTTAAGAAATTGAAAAGGTTTTTGAGCGAGGTCAAGTTGCCGCCGTCAATGCGTTTTCATCCATCATCAGATGTTCTGAAGAAAACATTATTCGTTAAGAAGTTTGTTATTGAAAATGTTCAAAAACCTGGAGGAATTTGGTCGATTTTCGTAGAGTAATTTGGGTCGAGGTTTATTTGCAGCACGCCACAAGACAACTCGGTTGCGAAACAACAGCGCCAGCAGCCCAAGAAACTACTGAAATCATTTACTTGCTGTAAATATGATTTTCCAGAAAAATCCCCAATGTTAAAGTCGGCCCATACACTAGTGGCTTAGCTATTGAT